CTTATTATGTCAATTTTAGAAAAAAATATTCAGACTTATATTTTAAAGAAGTTTTTCAGTTTACCAATGCAGTCAACTCAAAATGTAATTACTTGAAATGATTGACAAGCAAAATTATCTTTCTCAAACTGTTATCAAGCTTGAAATAACAGCTAATTTAAATGTGCTAGAATTTATATAAATATACAGCTGCGAATTATTTTTTAAGAAGAAACGGTTGCAATTCTTTGGTATAATTTAATTTCAACATTATCTTGGATTATGACAATTGTTTTACTGTCGTCTCACTTTATCAAATACTTTAAATAAAAAATAGTGCTTCTTTAAAAATCTGCTTGTCATTGACAGTAGTCGACAGATAAGCTGTAGCAAATTGTACAGTAATGCTTGCAACTGTCGTGTTCTTTATTATACTTTTTTTCTAACAATAACCAAAACTACTTATTTTCAAATTTGTATTATAAATTTTTCAAAATTCAATCTCAAAAGGCAAAAAATACTGGTTTTTGACATATTATGTAATAATTTATTATGAATATTCATATTTTATAAGAATGGTACTTTTCCGTCCTATTATCCAAGTTCTTGAGTTTCTTGAACATCAAAATGATGAAAATTTTTACTATTTTCAAAACGTAACTGCCAGAGTAATACACAAAATATAATCCAAGCAGCATAGACTTCATGTAAAAGGAAATATCCATCTAAGGAAAAATAAATATTGCAGTGCACTGAAATGATTAATTGATCAAAGTGACACAAAAAAATTGAGTTTTCAATAGACAATTTAAGCAGCATAAAAGATCAGACAGAGATTTCATTTTTAAATGATCAGAGTTAATCCATTAACTAATTAAATACTACCATATGGAATGAAAATGAATGTTTTTATTGTTGTTTTTCGACCCAAGCAAAGTCATAATGCGGTAACTGATTAGATCTACTCAAAAAGTTCTTCTAGTCATTAGAAACTTTTTTGGTTTCCACCAATTTTTTTTGGTCTTTTGACATTACCGAATTTCTGAAGCTTTTTTTCTATGACTTCTTGGCTGAATTTCGTTGTATTTCTTTTGATAGAAACAGAGCAGGCGTTTCAGTTTGCGATTTGAATCGTAAATGTCTATTATTCTAAAATACACTCTAAGAGTATAGCTGAATCTTTTAGCTATCTCAACGTTTTGAACCAAGATAGTAAAATGAGTCGCTTTATAAAATTTTATTTTAACTTGAATAGTTTGCGTATTTGCTGCATTCAAAAATTTAAAAATTTGAAATTAAAAAAGCAAAACAGACACTCATAAAATTGTATCTTTTTTTGTGTACGAATTACAAAATTAAAAAATTTGGATGGAAGTATTTGCTGCAGGCATTTATTTCTTTTTCCTCTCAAAGCCAGCACTTTATCACTCTTCCTACTGTTATTCGTTACTGACAGTAGAAAAAAGAAAGCAACAAAAACAATCAACTTTTAACACAATGACAAATCACAAGTATTGATCTGCTCGGCGGAACAAATTTTAACGTTTTCTGCTGTTATTCGTTTTTTTCAGATACAAGTAGAGAGAGAGTAGTCATTTGGTAACTGTCACGTACCGAAGCGCAGATAAATTAAGTATAAGTAAGTAAATTATTCATTTTCTGTTTGCTGTCTCTCTGCCACTTCGATGAATAAAATTGTTTTGAATATGAATCCTTTGAAGAAATCTTATACATCTCATCTGCTCAAGAAGTCAATCGAAAAATAACAAAATCTTGATAAGCGCAAAAAAGACGAAATGAAAATAAGATTCAGTTGCTTTGGAAACATAGAAGTAGTAAGTGAGATTTTGATATTTGTCTTCAGTGATTTAAAGTTTTAATGATTTTGGCAATAGATCATTTTGTGTTCTAGTTCCTTGAAAAAAAAATTATTTTTCAAATATACTAAAAAACGTTGAGTTTTAATGTCAAAAGATCTATTTCTGCTTAGTATAAACGTTCATGACAAATTTCACATATATATATATAATTAACTGATTGATTGATTTATTGGTTTTATCTATTTATTTATTTTTTTTATTTAATTAATTTATTAATTAATTTGTGTTTATTTGTAGATCCTTTTACAACAAAATTAGCAGTCATAGAATATAAATCATTTTGAAGTAATTTTCATCGCTTGATCGAGTGTCATGATCTGTCATGTCACAAAGATATAGTATTTTATTTAATTACATGTATTTGGAGATCTTTTGTCTTCCAACTGGTAACAAAATTTTCATTCAAATATTTTTGAGAGAATATTTTTTCAGGTGTAATTTGTAACTATCCAAATATCTCGAGGTTTTGAACAGCGGAACCAAATTTTTTTTCTGCTGTTTTTTTCACTAATTGCTGAATATGGGAAACTAATATTCAGACTTTGAAATACAAATTTTCCAGCATCTGTTCAAGTTTTTATAAATTAAGCAAACCCTTTCTGCATTCCATCATCATTTAAAATGTTCAATTGCTCTATTTACACCGAATAAATATTAAATAGATTGAAAATCTTTCCTTTGCAAATTACTTAGAACAGTGCATAAATCAGCTCCTTTATATTCTTTCGAATTGCGTCATACTATCATTTCGCGTGTTTTGTTATCATTAAAATTTGAATTGTTATCAAACTATGATTCTGCACATTTCTAACACCTACCAGTTTTTGTACAGTATGAAATTTCCATTTTATTTTCCAAACGCTCCTTGAATACTACTTTTTTGGTGCATCTTCAGAAAATTTCCAAGCTAAACTTATCAGTTTCATAATTTGTCACTTTTATATTGTACTGTTAAATGCTATGAATTTTTGTACTATTACTTGCAGTTTTGACTTCGAGCGGATGAACCAAAAATGGCGAGTTTGGAAAAAAATGAGCTCTACTCAGCTGAATCCCTACGAAATGCAGATCAAATTTTGAATGAACTTGGTGAGATATTTTGTATGGAACCAATTTTCTTGAAAATTATTTGTGTTTTATTACTTAAACAAAAATAGACACCATTTATTTGCTAAATTTTGCTTCAATTTTCGACAAAAAGAAATTTTTTAAAAACTTTTTGTTATAAATCAGAAAGAAAAATATCTTTCTTCTGCTGTAATAGTACACAAAGTTCTGACTGAAAAATCTCAATGAAATAATAATGATAATAGATTGATTGCTGTAAACTATACTTCAAGTTTAGTAAATACTTTCAGTATGATTATAGCATTCACTTGCTTTCATACTAAAAGTATGACAATGAAAAGAGAGAAAAAAGTTGGCATTCAAATTTTTTAAATCAGTTTGCATTGCAGTAATTTTTCAGGCTGCCAACAACGATATATTTTACTAATTACAAGCTTATTGTCGTTCAGTTGGGCAGTTGCAGCGATGCCTGTAATGTTTAGCGCATTTGTCACTGAAAGCACGGATGAATGTTCAACAAATGGTACCTTTCACACTGATAAAAAATTGATTGCTAAATGCATGGAAAATTCTCTTATTTCACAGGTACCTCCATAAATTTTAGAATAATTATTGGTGTTCTCTAGTGAAAAAATTTTTAACGAATACAAATGCATATTCTTTAGACAAGCTAAATAATACAGAATTAGCATTCGGTACCAATTTGAAATAACATATATTGTCTTTGCATTATTGATACTAATCAATGCAAATGTAATCTCTGCACCATTCTTGACATCATTTTACTAGTACTTCACCAAGTACAGCTGAGTAATCTAAATTTATTGAGTGAGTAACTGACTAACGTATATTTACCATTATATAAGTAAACCATCAAGTACCATCAGACCATAATTACAAAATTTAGTTAACATCATATCTTGTCCTTACAAGTACATATGATCATGTAAATTAGTACCATATTATACTGTTTATTCATTTTTGATAAAATTTTCACTGCAAGATATATTATGAATTTTACAGTTTAGTTTACATGGTAACCAGCGATATCTTGCCGAATGGACTACTTCAGCATTTATGCTTGGTAATATGATAGGTGCTAGTACGTTGACGCGTCTGTCAGACAGGTAAGTCATAAAGCAAGTTAAAATTATTATATCCTTTTAAATTATTATATTTTGACATTCTATCAGATTACTGTTTCAAATTAATTTGATAAGCACAACTTGTGCATATGCATCTCTTATTTGACCGTTATACGTGGATACGTGAATGATGAGTTAATTAGTATCCTTGTAGGTATGGACGAAGGCCAGTTCTAGTGTTCAGTTTATTGGCACTTGGTATTACCGGTTTGTTGTGTGCTTTAGCCAACAGCATTACCATGTTTGCTGTCTGTCGTTTGTTGCAGGGCATTTGCTCTCCAGTTAGTCTTCTCATGAGTATAAGAAACAAAAAACAGAATAATAGAGTAAATATTCAGATTTAATGCTGATTATCAATATTTCACAAAGTTAAACCTAAGAGCATTAAAAGAGTAAACAGTGAAAGTAAATATGTAAGCATACATTTGATAAGAGTCATATTAAAGAAGCAAAACATTCTCATGATTAAAAACACTTTTAAATAGCAAATTTTATATGCTTAGCTCCTAAAATAAGCTAGTTTGAGTGCAATTTTTTTTTCAATTTGAGTATTAGCTTTATTACTTCATGCAATAAAACCATATATGGATATATCAAAAATTTTGTAAGTACAAATTTGTTATTTAATAGGGGTCATTACTAGTAGCATGGGTACTTAGCTATGAAAGTGTACCAATTGGTTTACGTGGTTTTGTCACATTGATATACGGTCTTATGTGGGTCATTGGCTATTGTACAGTGGCACCATTGGCATATTTTGTGGTGAACTGGAGATGGTTAATTGTTTCATGTTCAGCTCCTTCTATGCTTCTCGCTGTCCTTTATTTTTAGTACGTATTATACGTGCAATGTTTCATGTCTTTTTCCTCCAATATTCCACTTTAAATTAAGTTTCAGGCCCAATTTAAGATGTAATTGAACAACTTTCTTTTCAGAAAAAAAAAGATAGCATCAGAAATACATTTATACTTATATTAATAGATAAATTAAGAGTGTTTATAATCTTTATGATAATTTCAATTACAGTATTGTTCCGGAAAGTCTTCATTTTCTTATTGCCAATAATAGAAAGGAGAAAGCCGTAAATTGGATTCGTAATGCGGAAAAATATGGAAATGTTGTAAATAAAACAAATTTAAACACGATGGTAGAACTGCTTGAAAGTGGATGTTGTGACGCAAAAGGATGCGAAAACGATATTAGTAAAACTAACAAAAATTCCAGGTCTATTTGCTAGCAGTAAATTTGATAAGCGATATAACTGTTGTTAACAAACAAAGATTTAAAATGACTTCAAAAATTGTCACGATTAAAAGGATTTACTTAAAATATTTATCTAAATAAGCTACACAATGAAAACAATTAGAAGTTATATGAGAATACAAGTTCGTAGTTGATAATATTCATGACAGAAAGGTAAAGAAATGAAAGTAATTATTTGTTTAGTAAATTGTTTCCCTCACTTATCATTTTAGAGGTTCACTTTCGGTAAAAATTTTATCTGAAACCATGCCATCACATAAATAATCCAAGTATTTTGCAAATAAAAAATTTTAATTTATTCCATATTTAGTTCTTGAAAGAGTTTTAAATGAATTAATATGTCAAAAATAAAAGAGATATTATAATGTAAATAATCACAATTATGAATCAGTGGTGCAAGAAAGCAGTTGAAGAATGACTTTTTTAAATAAGACCTTGGAAGAAATTTATATCAATTTAAATCATTTTTTATTTCAGGTTCTTAAGTGTGAAAGAATTGTTGAATCATAAAATTTTTATCATCTATACATTAATTCTCATTTTTTTGTGGTAAGAATATTAATTTAAAAGGATAAAATATTGAATTGGCAAATCAAACTACCTTCTGCTTACTTAATAATTTTAACAAATATGGCCACTAACAAAAAATTTACTTAATACAAAACAGTTACGTGTAGTTATATATCAAAACACGATGAGTCATAATTTTATAAAATTCTTATTTTATTTCTTTGCTATGAAACATTAAAAAAGTAATAACCAATAAACTTCCAAATTAACTAATTATTTTAGGTCTAGTGATACATTCGTTTATTATGGCTTATCGCTTTACACTACTCACTTGGCTGGAAACAAATACTGGAATTTCGTATTATCAGGTCTTGTTGAACTCCCAGCTTATATCTTTACACCACCTGCCTTGAAAAGGTTAGCATATTCATCTCTGTCCAATCAATAACTGTAGAAATACAGTATAACCGATAAGTCACTTTATAGTGTTATTAAAATACTGCTCCCATAATATATATTTTTTACACAACAAGATTATCTCCAAGCTCTAATTTAATCTTACTTTGAACAAGCTGGTATATTGACTTTGAAGGGATTTCCTAATTTACTATGATAGTGAACAATGCAAAATCTTACAGCAATCGTCATTTTTAGTATTGGACGTAAGCGATTCGTTGCTTTTATGCATTTTTTAGTTGGATTTTCCCATATGGTGCTAATATTTATACCACCAGGTAGGTTACTAGCTGAAAATAATCAGAGTAAATTAAAATATTTTAACAGTTAACAACAAGCTACCTTAACTAAGCACAGACAGTAGTTTGTTATTAGTTGTTGAACGACATTGTGCATTGTAAATAGTTTGCTTCATCGTAATATTAAAGGCTTTCACAATGTAATCTTTGCGATTTCACGAGAAAAAATATCTTTAGATAATAAATGGCTGTCGATATCCTGTTGGTTAATTGGAAAATTTGGAATTTCATCTTCATTTATAAGTCTTTATGTTTATGGTAGCGAAATATTCCCAACAACAATTCGCAATGTTTGCTTAGGTATATGTGTAGTGATTGCACGACTTGGTGGTATAATAGCTCCGTATGTCACTATCCTGGTAAGCTTTCTCATTTTTTTATATCTAATAAATTTTAACTTTTTCGAATTTTATGCTAGACTTAAGACTTAGAATACAACAGCAATGAAGATAAAAATGATAACAAAGTAACAAATATAATAAAAATAACAACATAGCCATAATAAAAACAATAATCATACAGTGTTTATGACCTGAACGATGAAAATTATGAATAAATTCTTTTTTTGATTACTCAGCAGTGGTGTCAAATGAAAATTACTGACTCTATCATGCAAAAAACTTTTTCATTATCAAAACAATCATGATGAAATTTTTTCACTATTATTTAGAACAGAATCAAGTAAATGAATTTTTTATGAAGCGTTAAAGTACTCTTCTGAATTTATTTTGATCACATCTTAACTTGATGCAGTTTTGTATAACTTAGGAATTAACTATTTTAGGGTTCAGTAAATGCATTGCTGCCTATTATCTTGTTTGGATCAGTAGCAATGATTGCTGCCATCTTCACATTTATTTTGCCAGAAACAAAAAACCGTGAATTACCATCTTCGTTGAATGAGGCAGTGAAAGTGAACCATTCCTATTTGGAACATTCGAAATTTCGCTCACAACCTGAACCTAACAATTCTATCAGTCTGAAACAGACATAAATTTGCGATCAGACGAACATAATGCGTAAATAATATACTTTAATTTCATTACGAACAAAGCTTCGTAAACCATAATAACAACAATAATTCATTAACAGATGGCTGTACAAATATAACTGAAGAAGTGGTAATAAACAATAAACAGTAACGAAAATCAAATTGCATTATGATAAAGCATTGACTTTTAAATCAAACATTTGGAAAATCCTTAAAATTTAATAGTACTATTGTCTGATCTTTATTGCTGTTTGCAATTAATAATTAGTTTTCACCAGATTAAAATTTAGATCGTTTGTTAAATTTTAATCTGAATTTTTATCATCATTCTTACGATGATAAAAATGTTAGTAAACAGTTATCTCTCAAATTAATCACATGAAAATTGAAATAATCAGCTTGGAAATTCATAAAATTTAATATGCAAGCAATCATAACAAGAAACACAAGCTTACCCACGTTCAAATCCATGAGTCATCGTCAATTAGTTTAATATATAATCATATATATTTCGGAACTGAAATTCTAAATTAACATTAATTAATATTCATTTATGCCATGAAGAATGATGGTAGTTAAAATTCTGTTATTTTTTGAATGATCACTGTCAGTGAAATTGATTACTAATGGAGTATCCATCATTCACGTAAAAGATCAGACGCTGCGGTCAGTGCAAATTAAAGATCAACTGTCAATGTAAACTGAATGAATGAATTCAATTAGTACTAATAGCAACTAAAAATGACGCAATCGCGTGTTAATACGCATCAAAAGAATAATTTTAAAGCGTGAATGTTTGTAAAAAAAACGTCACTGGGGATTAAACTAATGCGAATGCAACAAATAGTAGTTTTGATTCAAACTTCGCGTTTTCATATATTCAAATTTTGTCGCAAGTTGACTTCAAGCCAATGCTCAATAGTTCTTCAATTTTAATGTGCTAGTTTAAGTTTTTTTGTTCAAAAACGAAATCTACTTGGTTTTCTCCAATCCAATTTTTTGAAGGTTTTACTTATTGATCGAATTTATTGTGTATTCGATATAAACTTTTTTCTTCGATACAGATTTCAGTACTAAATATGAGTTCCTCATGTGAGTAAATATTCATCGCATTTATTTTATTGGGCACATTTTCAGTCACATTATATATCTGTAGTTTGAACAGAATTATCGTGATACACATGTGATTCAAAATTTGTCCCAAAAGAAAGATGATTTTGACAGTTTACTAAACTAGAATTAATACTGTAAATACTTATGACTTTTATTTTGAGTTCCAAGCTCAATTTAATAATTAGGAGAAGAAATATAGTCTTAATAATTTAGTGTCTAAATCTTTTGCAATAATTTTTTATTTTCGCTGCTGTGCATATTATTTTTTCCAATAATTATTTTCAAATAGCAGTTTTGAAATTTACAGTGTAATAAGTCATTCTTAGTACAGTCACTTTCAAGATCTCATTTATTTCGAAAATATTACATTTACTTTTTTCAAAATAGGCTGTTTCGTATTCATTTTTGCAGTAACAGATTTAAGAAGAACTGTCACGTGTGTCTAATTGTAGTGTTTATTACGCCAGTAATTACTTGGTCTTTCTTTTACATTCTTTAGGGATAGTAATATAAATATCTAATAAGTGGAAAAAATGCATAAAATGAAATGGCGATTGCGATATTGGTAGCGCTGAACTATTTATTATAAGCCGTGAAAGGTTCATGTTTGATAGCTTGGGCAGTTGCTAGTGTTTTTGGTTTCGTTAAGAAATTGTAGTCATGAAACACTGAAAACATGAATTTATATATTTGTCACGTTATTTGTATGTTATTTTTAGGATATGTTAAATAAGGTTCTCCTAAAATGCAAGATATTTTACAGTGAATGGAAGACGATTTTATGTATAATGAAAACGAGGTAAAATTTCTGCAAGTTTGGGATCAAATTCGTAATCAGATTGAGAGTAATCAATGTAGAACAAGTGAACTGGCGAGTGAACTTGAAACGCTAAATAATTATTCACAGCTGGCAAAAAAGAGCTGTAAACCTGAAAATCGTGAGATATACAATGCTCTATATTGTGTGCTTCGTGAGGTACGATAATAAATACTTAAAAAATTGGCGATTAATTTTGCAAATTGAGTCGTGAAGAAAATGGCAGTGATAGTTTAAGGAGTAGAGAAACTGAATAGGTGTAGAAATTACATGAATTGAGAAGTATTTAACTTTTTTATGTTTAAATATTTGAAGGGATGCTGTGTTAGATAGTTTTATTTTGAGAAAAATATAGACCAACTTTCTGTAAAGCAAGAAAATTGTGATTGTATTCGTTTATAAATGGTTGTTAACTCACGGAAATGATTTCATGAGTTTAATTTACTGAGTAAGCAGTGGGTCAAATCGACAATACTTTCAGGAATTGGTCAGCAGAAATAACCTTTGGAATGGTACAAAATGCATCGATGTGTCACATACTTTCGGTGACTCGGGATTAGGCACACTTTATTCCTCAGTAGAAGCTGAGAATTTGGAATATGAATTGGCGTCTGTTCTTCATAATAAAACTTCAAAGTGTTCAAAAAAGTTGTTGAAACGGAGGCCACAAAAAATACTACTACCAAATTTAGCTATTGATGAGGAAAGAGTTTGGAATAAAAAAGTAGCAGACACGAGGGAATACAACACTCCATATCGTTATTTTATTACAGCATTGATTTGTGGCATAGTGTGTGTGATTACCCTGACACCGCATCGTGTTTTTCCTTGGTTTGTGACTTGGACAACATTTACTTCACCACCACCGATGTGAATGAAGCCATGATCGAAGATTGGAATACCACATTTTTTGTCAAAAAAATGCAAACGAGCCAGTGGCAGTTAGTTTTCATCTGTAAAAGTAATCTTGCCATACCTGAATAACTTATTGTGTCAATGCAGTCAGGTATTAAAAAATTGTATATTTTGCATCTATAATGAATAACATTCTAAAAATGCATAAGAAAAAGTAGAAATTATGCATTTGGTTCTTAACAGATTGGGTACTTTGTTTCTTGTCTTTTATAATCATAATATAGCTACGTTGACATAGCTTTTATTGTAAATGTGTAATTATTATTGTATTTTGCTGTACTGCTTCCAGTGCTTAGTTCTTAATGTTTGTGTACTTGTCAACCTTCAGTCTACTATCGGAAAACTTTTTCCATTATGTCTTAAGTCATTTTTCAGAATGATATGCCACTATTCAACAGTTTTAATTTGAATTTTTGTTCTTGTTGCGAGTGACCTTTCAGAGAAATAGTGGAATGAATCTTTAAGTAATTTATTAATGTAAAGATAGAAATTTCAATTATTATTTGTCAGTTTTGTCCAAAAGTGTCAGTTTCGTGATTCTTTCTCTCTGAAGTCGTGTTTAGGGAGCATCTAAAATTGGTATTATTATTAGGATCTCTCAGATTTACAGCTTTCACCACAGCTTTATTAATTTCATTTCTTTTATGTATCGCTCAGTTTTTTGTGCATTCAAGAGGACAGTTTTTGTACTGTAGAATGTAAACGATTTTCATCTATTTATTTTTTCGTTATTCATTTCCTTACTCTTTTTTAAAATCATAAGTTAGTATTTTATATTTTTTGTATTCGTAACGTTGTACTTTATTTATTTTTAAGGTTATCTTTGATAGGTATTACGAAGCATCACCATTGGATTGTACTTTAGATAATTTTACATACTTTTTCTTCTGTTATGAAAAAATCGTTTTTCGTGCTTATAGTTTGTGAATTGCAATTGTATTTTCCATTTTGTAAGCTTTTAGGTAATATTTATTGCGTTGATTTTGTATCAAATCATTAAGTACAGCAAATTAATAAATTTTGCACTATTTTAGCAAATTTACTCTTAACGTTATCTGCGGCAAGTGCACTTGGGAGTATTTTGTGAAGGAGTTGAAAGTCATTAGGTTATGAATTCACGGTCGAGTTTTTGAAATGTACCATTTATCTCTCTATGGGATTTATTTTTTCATTGGCGGTTAGTTGTGCCACTTGGACAGTGTAGTTATGTAGCACTACTGTTTCCAATCCAGCATTAGGACTCTAATTTGCCTGGATTAGCATAGGTTAATAGTGTATTTTCACAGTTCTCTTGGTGTCTCTTTATCAAATTTCCCATTTGTAACAATAAAAGATAGATTTTAAGTTTTGGACGAATTTTCTAGTCTGGAATAGCGTTAAAGTTGTTTTTTTCAATGCCATAACTTGTCGAGGTTCAGAGAAATACATTCTTTCATGTCTTGATATTAAGAGTTAGTTATTTCAGGAAATTTGGAACAGGCAACAGCTTTGGGCTTTTTGATTTGTCCACTGTGAGAATTACTGTTATCAAAGAACAAAAAAGAGCCATTTAAAAATGGTAAGTTCATGAGTTATTTGAGTAGCTGTGACATCAAAAACCATTTCTTTCTGGTGTTTAGCGAACAAATGAAAAGTTTCCGGTTCCACTCAGTCAATACATTCAATGCTTCGTCTTTTTTATAGATATCAACAACAAAAGTGTTATTAGTTTATGAACGTGAAAGATAACATGATTGATTTTGTGCATCGAAAAATTTATGATTATTTAGTATTACAAAAGTGTTTGGATCAATATCCATGACGAAGTACCAAGTCTTCGATAAAATATAAAATAGATAAAGTGTAATAGTTCTTTATCAATTTCTTCCTCAAATAAGCTCAGCATTTTTACTGAATGAAGTTTCTTAATTAGAGATGCGATTGTAATAATTTATTATTACTTTTCTTTTATTTCTTTCAAATTTGTTTAATTTTGTATAGTTTTTGGTAAATACCATTAGAATAACTTAAAACTATATATCATTTATGCTTAATTTCGAGATATTAGTCCTACGCAAGAAATCTTGAGAGCCAGAGATCTCTGAACTATCATATGTGAAGTTTTGCCGTAGTATTATATGGTATTTTCAGTTCTATCGTAATTTCTGAAGTACATCATTAGTTTAATTTGATTCCTGAACGCTCAGAAAGATGAGCTATTTAGGAATTTCCAACTCAAGTGTAATTCATAAAGTGCTTGAAAGAGGACAAAATATAATTAGGTAATTCGAAGTTTTTAGATTGATTCTGTGGTAACGATTCGGACGAATAAAGTTATGACCAATCGCTTGTTAGCAAGGCGTCAGATGGCAAGTTCTTATTTGCTATTTCGAACTTAACAATTCTTGCTGATAGCATTATTTTAAGAATGTTATCTGGATTATAGGAGATATAACCAAGTATACCAAAAAAGGTTGAAGTTTCAGTAGGGACCATTAGATACATCACTCCTACTTCTTTTCAATTTTGAATCTTTTTTGTTCTTTACTTAGTACTGGCATTTATGCAGGATTGGTGTTTCACCGCACAGGGTCATTGAGACCAGCGTCAATGATCATTATGTGTGTTTGCTGTTCCTTTTCAAATCTAAAACTTGCAGGTTGTTGACATTATTCATCCTAACCGTGCATCAGTGCCGAAAATCGAGGTTCGCAATAAGTTGGCGCAGATGTACAAAACTACACCTGACTTAGTTTTTGCTTATGGCTTTCGTTGTCATTTTGGTGGTGGAAGGAGTACTGGCTTTGCCCTAATTTATGATACGGCAGATTTCGCCAAAAAATTTGAACCTAAATATCGTTTGCTCCGGGTAACTTTCAAACTTGGTTTTTGTGTATGTTATTTGATCCTCAAAATAACTTTCGGAGATAACACTTGCTGTTTTCAATTAAGTCATACCGTAAGTGACCACTTTGCATAGCTAAGTGATGTTGTGGATATACGGCTTAATTGGTTAACAAACGTCTATTATTAAGTTTGTAAATAAAAAGTCTTCTGTGGTTACCTTCCTTCTACATTTGTTGCAATCTTCCGTGCTTGAAATGAGCACTCTGACTCATTTCGTTGTATTTGATGTGTGTACATGCTATACACTTAATATAATTTTCAGCAGACAGGATCAAAAGCCGAGAAATCAGGTCGTAAGCAACGAAAGGAGCGAAAGAATAGGCAGAAGAAGGTACGTGGAACAAAGAAATCTAAAGTTTCCGCCGGGAAGAAATAATATTGTATACTCCTGATTTTCCTGATGTCAGACGTTACTGTTTTTTCTCTGATAGTAAAACCTGTTATTAAACATTCAAATTTTGGTCACTTCGGATAAAAAAAGCTTTTTCTTCTTGCTCTTCTAAGGCTGAACTTTAACATCAGCTGTTGCTATAATGTCTACACTGAACTAAGGTGTTTTTTCAAGAGACAGTCATGATAATTGTACTTTGATTCTAGATATGAGCTAAACTAGACGCAACCCAAATGTTATGCGTTTATGTAGTTCATTTCTCGATTAAAGTATCTAGGAATAGGTACTAGATTTAGAGTATCGGTCATGTTTGACATTTGCACCTATCTTTTCATTCTACTCAAATTTTAATGTGGGAAATGAGACACCTTCTACACGTTCTCAAAGAAATGCGAAAATGCAGACAAATAAGCAATCACAGCTACATGAAATGTTATCGGCAATAAATGATTGACGAAAATTACAAGTTTTGTCTAAGATTATATCTACATGCAATATTTTGTAAACATCACAGAACTAACAATTTTAAACGCAAATGAAAGAACTGAGATTTGAAAGGAAAGAATACAAATTCAGTGACTAGATATAAGTGATCTAAATCTATCAACAACAATTAAGCTACCGTTTAAATGCTGCCGATAAATCATTTTTCCCACAAGCCGCTGCATCATTCGAGAATTATGCAGCAAATTCTCGTAGAAATGACATGAAAATGCAACAAAAGTGCATTTTCATAATACTTTCTCCTCCGAGAATACGTCTGATTTAATACAGATGCACTTCGAATCTCTGATCTTTGAAGAATCTTTTCACTAAAATACAAAAATTTTTTAGCCTCCATTCATTCCGAGAATTAATGCCTGTTGACTGCAGTTAAACATGGTTTAAAAAAATTGGCTACAAGACGAATTCCTAATTTAATTTCAATTATAGTAGTTTGAAAATTTTCTCAAGAAGTGCAGCTTTTGTTGTATCGCTCAGATTTTTATATTCTTCTGTCTGCTTCAAAGCCTTTATATCACCTGGCTGCTTGAAAGTTCGAACACAAACATCCTGAAAATATATGTACTTTTGATTGCTAGCGAGGAGCTTACATTGAAACAGCGAAGATTAATTTTCAGCCAAGAACGTTTTGAAGTGAGATGATTGCAGTTAAATGAAAGACATGAAATGCTTCATGCCTTTTAAACAATACATCACAAAAATTAGGAAAAAAAGTGCATGCACATGTACCTGTAGCTTCGCAAGACAATACTGGTCGGCCCAAACAAGCTTGGTTACTACTGCAATATCATCCGAACGCATTAAGAACTTTTCGCACTCATCGATTACAAATTGAACTTCAAACTTGTCACCTAATTCCAATAAAAATTCCACATTTTCCGCTATAAGAGACGAAGTCATTTCCTGGTAATACAAAATTTTTGATTTCAGTCCAGAAACATCTCTCAGCTTCAAGTTGTCCTTTCAATCGGCGTGAAATAGAATTCCTGTCACTACTGTAAATGAATTTTCTTCTTTGACTTATATAACTTGGAAAAAATGATCTTACCTGATACGGGTTTATGAGATGGATACACAACGCTTAGCATTTCTATAAATTCGTCCAAAATGACATCTTCAACAGTTATTTCTTTCTTATTTCTCTCACTGAACTTGGAGAAAAACATTGCGTGGAATACAGGAGAATATAATGCCAAGTACTGTAAGCAGTTTACTACAAATAAATTAAAAATTGGAATGGCTGAAGAACACAGTAAACAAATTATATTCTCCAACATAATTTGAAAAACAAAATACCGGAAATATTTAGAATAATTATGTACTCTACATGACAAAATGTGTCTCAAGTATTACCGTTTTACTAACATGCAAACGGATTCCATCAATCACAAGAACACCATCTGATATATGTGGTTGCGGCAAGGTAAACTCAAATGTTGGATTTTTTCTTAAAATAATAGATACGGTCAAACGGCAAATACAACTGTAATTTAAATTTTAAAGTTTTTGAAGTCTTAAATATATGTTATTTTACTCTTTTGGACACGATTTTCAGTTGACTCAAATAGCAGTGCTATGAAACTTCAGCTTAATTTATTGGCATATGTTTCTCCGTTTCAATCTTTTTTCTTATTTTAAACTCACAAAACACTGTTTTTCCACATTTCTAATTCACTTAAACATGTTTATGACCCAACGACTTTAAGTTGTCTCAAGAAGCTTACTGAATACAATTATATCAATTCACTATTATATGAAGTGGCACTAATTTATTTTATTTCATTCAGTAAAGAATTTAACCACATGGATTGAACAACAGCAGTGAAGAAATATAACCTGACACCAACAACTTTCTGTACAGTAATATGCGCCTCAACTACCACACGATCAGCACGAATAAAACCCTTCTCGGTATTTAAAATATCGCTCCACTCCATAAACGACGGAAAACCCCAATTATTTGAATTATAATTGAATTTATTTGTAAACTGAAATCGAAATAATAACGAAATATAACATAACTCCAAACCGATTCTATATCTAGTTTTAACTAAAACTATTAGAAATCGACTCATACCTTGAAAAACATGAAAGTTGTGCAACTGACTTCGTTTAGAATTTTGTTTGAGGTCAGGCTAACAAAGCACAGCTTACCTGACGACTAAAATTTGGAATGTCTGGTTTTTGAGAAATCAAACGAAATTCGACAATAGCATCGCAGCTCCACAATGTCGACTCACTTTCTGGGTTGCAATCAATATAAACACTGAAGAACTTAACATTGCTAGTTCGTTTCGTACATTCCGTTTTAGCTGCCAAACGCCTGTTAAGAATAAAATTTTACAAATTATAAAACTTCAGAACAGCTTGTATTTGCATAAATACCAATGATAAAATACATTAAAAATTTCATGCCGGTCTCAAAGTTTTCTGATGTTTATTCCAGCAGAGGTACAAAATCTTATCGAGCACAAATTTTGTTTCAATCTAATACTTCATTATTTCAAACACTTTGATCCACAACTTTGCGCATGACGATACCATCTGTATTAATAGCTATATGAAGTAAGAACTCAATAAAACTAGATCAGATCATGACTGTAACACATCTGAAACTAGTATGAAGAACAAATATACCATGGTAAGTTTGCAATGATATGAAACGACGTAGTTACTTTCTGTCGAAGTGATCCCAAATTCGATATATTAAGTTTTATCGAGCCTTCCGTTTTTGGTTCTAAAATTTGGGCTAAAAGGCAAAAAAATCAAATTTCTGTCTATTTTATAGCTGCAGTAACAAAAATTTGAGACATATAAAATATGATTTAAAAAAAGATGTAAAACAGCCCCACAGGTGCATGAAAATTCAGTCATCTGCAAACATGTCAGAATCTAGAACTTTCCACACCAACTTAGTCTTACTACACCAATAAACACTGTCTTCTTACCGTGACGTATAACATCGTCCGCAGAACGCGCAAATTCTGAACCACAGGCATTTAAATCATGTGAACGGTCGGTACCGTCCATAAAAGCTGGATTACTCGATGTAAACAAACGCTTCTGTGGTATAACACTTCCACTGTTCTGTCCAGAACTTGAACCAGCAATATTTATTGAATTCTGCAATCGTAAATGATTTCTGTGATTAATATTTTCGTCTAGAAAGCCTATGCCTATTGTCATTAAAACTCACCCACTCACTGTCATCTTTTTCTCAAACTCCAAACTTCTAATTACTATTAAACCTGGCACTTAAAAAGTGAATGCTGCGAGTTTTAAATATATCTACTACATAAAATTTTCTGTTTCAAATCAAGATATTCCAATAATGTCCACATACACTTCTCTCCACAAGCCAAACCGTACATTATGTCTAACTTTCTTGTACATCACTTTTAAGTGATAACGCAAAATTTTATGTAAATATATTCAATACCTTCAGCTTACTTTACAAAATTATGAATGAAATTATTATTCATAATCTTTTTTATGATGACTTTATTCACAATTTTTTAAGTACGCTGAAGTTATTAACCCCGTTCTACAACCGAAATCTTTGTGTTCTTAAGAATATTCATCTCCCAGACAGTTAATATGGCAGTTTTGCATATGTATTAAGGTCTTTAAAAAAGATGAAAAGTTCAAGTTTAACAAATGTAGCAAAATAACTATGTGTGATACAAAAAAAATAAACTCACAGTAGGTGGGAAGAAAATACCAGAAACTGAAGGATTGCTGTTCGAGTGATTTGACAGCACATCTATCTACAATAGAAAAACAGTTAGTCATGAACTAAAATAGTCTAGGAGCAAAGTTAGTTTTGCATCATGGACTTATTCTTGTAATAACTCTGGTAGAACAATTACTCGAAAATTACATATCACAAAATCACTAGAAATGCAAACCGTTAACGTCAGCAAAGCCAAGAATGATGAAAGGTAATTAATCCGTAAAAAGAAAAAATATGAAGATACAAGATGAACAAAACTTTTTGAACTATGATTTTATAAAGGAAGCATGGAGTAGCAAAAAGTTTTCTGAAACTGCCTAGGTAATGTTTCTAGCGAGTAAGCAGATCTTCACAGATCATTTCAAAAATAAAATTATCACGATACGTTTTATCATATTTTTGATAAAAACCTGTTGTCGCATGCTAGCATCATGTAAATCAGACTCCTGCATAACAAATTTTGAATTGTTATCATCATCATCGCCGATAAAAGAATCTTCATCCGACATTGTTTTTTCTTTTAATTCTTCAAGAAGGTCACCAGCTATTTTCTAAAGTAGACACAAATTCAGTTTTACCATATCAAAACAATATAAAAGATTATTGCAAACAATTTTCACAGATTTCAGTACGAAAACCACAAAAAAAACTACGAAAAGTAAACATTTGAAAGTTCACTATCAGAAAGTAGAGCTTAAAACGAAGTTTAAAATGACAAAATAATAAAGTTTAAAGATTATTATTACAAAAAATTGGCAAACTAGGAAAGAAATGATGTTGAGGAAGAAACAGTCTGAAAGAACTTCGAAATTCAAAAAATTTAAACAAAGTTATGACCTAAAGCAAATAACTTGAATCACTTGAAAACTTTAGAAGGCAAGCATCAACACAAACCTTACAATTCATCAAGGACCCAACTAATAATGAATCACCGAGGGTCGTCAATAATTTATTAAAACCAACTAGTTTCGATATACTACTAGACTATGCAACTTTGACTTGTTTAATTAATTGTACATCAAATTTTTTTCAGATGATTACAGTTGCATATGATTTATTTGTCGTCCAGTTATGTCTTGTATTGTTGCTATCTGTCAATTTTTGTGCATTTAAACTTTGAATTTGTTAGCTAACTTTTGATAACTCGCATACGAACTTAGCCTTTAATGTCATACGAACTTAGCCTTTAACGTATATCTAAGCGCTTTTGTCTTTGTAATGACGTACTGACGTGATCTACTGTTTTTTTTCGTGTATTTATGACCGTTTATTGTCTTTTTATTGTGATATTTAACAATTCTTTTATGATTTTTGTGTGACTTTTTCTATTTTTCGTTTTGTACTTCTCTACATTCTTTACTTCCCTTTTGTGCATTATTTTTTGCTGTTTCTGACAACTTTTGTCAGTTAGTCCCAAACTTTATTAGGCCATTATCCTGCGTGTTATGACTTTATTGTTTCGGCTGTTTAAATATCTCAGTACTTTTCTGGTTGTAAATATCATAAATTGCTTTGCAGAATGTGTCTGTTATGATCAAACTGATGTTATTTTGTTCAAGTAAATGGAGACTTAAAATTAATAAAAATATGAAGATGAACAGAAATGGTGGCAAATGTCAACAAAGACTGATGAAGCTAGCAATTCTATGACGATGGCTGATCATCAAAAGTTGTTCGTCGGTTTGGTATGTAGTGATGCGGAATTGGTTGAATATTATGTTCAGTTAATTACTGAATTAAAGCGGTTTAGTTTAAAAGGTATGTCCATAATTTAAAAAATCGTTCTTTAAAAATATATTTTTTCGCTCAGCACAATTAGTTCGATAGTTTTTAAAGAACGAAAAGTCTGGGGTGAAGATTTTTCCTTTTATAACTCTCAGGTAGGATAATGTGAAGGTTTATAAAAATATGGTTATATATCCATTTTAGCTATTTGGTGTCCAGATACGGAACGAAGTATACAAATCGCTGCTGATAATGATATACCTTCAGTTTCTCATACCGCATTTCAGCTTATTTCGAGAAATGATACAAATACCGTGGTAATTGCAGGGCATGTGGCTCATAATGCATTGTTTTGCATGCAATCACAAGGTTGTTTTTTAATGACATTTTTGTTTGTGAAAATAAATGATTACAGAACGATTATATTATTTAATGATTACATTTTATATTGGTTTTTTATTTATTCCTGACCTCAAAGAATAATTTTGTTAAACTTGGAATTTGGAAATACTAAGCATTTTACTTATCATATTTCGTAATTTATAATTAAATTTGATTTCAGCTTTGAAAAAGAAAGTAATATGTATTGGAGTTGCTGCCCTTTCTCTACATACTGCTCAAATACTTCTAGAATTTTCTGAAAAGCATCAAACATTCCTGCGAATAATATACCCATTAAGACATTCAGTTCCAATGACGTTAATTGAGGCAAATATTGCAAAAATAGGTGCAATACAAAGTATCAATGTAGAAGCAACGTTTCTGGCACCTGAAGATTGTAAGCATCGCTTATATAATGACTGTAATTCAATGCTGCATCAAGTGAGTCATGAAATTATTGATGCACTGAAAGGAATTTGTGGTTGTTATCCATCACCAATTTCGACTACTTGCCATCAGCGAAGCAGTTTGGTGGAGCACTTCCGATTGCAGGAATTGCGATACTTGCATATGCAAGTTGCATTTGGTAATGCAGTTGCAAGTATTCAAATAGCTTCACATACTACCAAATCGTTGAATATTCGAGTTATCGGTGAATTAGGATTCTTCAATCTGAATCCTCAAATGTTAACTTTGGAAGGATGTGATGGACAAGGAGTTCTGTGGCGCGGTGATGGCAACATAGAAAATATGATGCGTATAGGGGCCATGAAAGCTCTAGAAAACTGGGACTCTGGTAAAACATCAGTGCTTAGAGACGAACTAACTTTGGTCGAGTGTGTTTCCAATTGTCGCTTTATATAAACCTGTCCGAACCTAATTAAGCCTTTTTTAACAGTTTATTATTGATTTTGTAATTCGCATGCAATTGCTATTGCGCTGATATTTCTGTCATATTGGGTGATGTCAGAAAATATTTGAGAGGCGTAAGTTAACTGAACTGTTTACAATTACATCTTTGCATTGTTTCAATAATTTATCACCAACTCCTACTGTATTGTTTACAATTTTCATTCAGAACCTTAGATATTTTACCAATTTGTCGTGTAAATTGTTTTGTAATAAATTATTGTTTATGATAACACAGTAACACATAACTTGCATAAAGTTTCACAAGTTAATATATATTTTTTAGTGAAAAACATAATAATTTGAGAAGAGGATGATTAAGGTCATACAATAATTGCAAAACATAAATGAGCCTCCAAAAATATCTATTTTTGTACGGTATTTGTCTGGAAGACTATATGATTTTCGAAGGCTCAAATTTTTTGCATTCATGAAATGGAGGTTTGTTCGTTTGCTGCTAACGCCAGATTAGTGGAAGGAAATCCTTTTTTCGATACTTCATGGCGTCAATCATCAAACTTACTGCTACTGAACGATTACTCAGAAACTGATATAACTCAGCACTTACTCCTCCAGACTTTAGTCTTGTAATTGCTAGCTCAACTGCTCTTTGAAGAGTTTCCTGGGCTGCGTTTGTTCGTTCTGGAGGGACTCTTCCAGCAAAATATTGTCTAATTAAATCATTTTCTGCTTCTGAATTTGCTGAATTCTTGAATAAGTCTTTCTTCATGATAAGATTCAAAGCATGACATGCTGGTCCAGAAAGGATTATTGGTTCTGATTCATACGTCGGATCCTCTTCGCTAGTTTTTGTTTCACTTTCTTCGGTGGAATTTGTATCATTACTTTGAAAAATGCTAGAACTACTGCCGGTTACAGCTGCAGTTTTGGCTGCAACCCAGAAAATTGGCTCCTGGTCTGGCATTATAGCAGGAGTCACGAATTCTGCTGATCCTTTTCCCGTGTCAAGGTAGCTAAATTCTAACACTCCCGTTGGTTCGCTGGGATATGTTGCTAAAGACGATGGTTTTGGTGCATCTTTCTTTTTTCCATCAATCCTTTAATTATTTAGCATTAATTTTATTTTTAATTCCTACCAAATAATCACTACATGCTATTTTGATTCACTTGCAAAAAAGAAGCTCAACTAATTAGAACTGGTTTTTAAAATGATGATTCAGACTGCCTTGTGATTGCCATTTATGGTAGCTCACTTAAATTTGAAGTTGAAAGAGATTGAAAAATACTAAAATACCCGAATTTTTAGCTCGTAGCCTGACAAATCCGTGCATATTAAATTATTTTTCAAATTTATTCATATTTTCTTACCCATCTTCTTCAGATTCTTCATTGCTTCCCAGTTCACCACCCGACTGGTCATCGATTAGATCAAGTTCAGGTTCTGTTTCAGTCTTTTCTCTTTCGACTGTTTTTACTTCCTTTTCGTGTTCTTCCACTACTGATTCAACATTCTTCGTAGTTTCTAGCTTATCCTCGCTTGGTTTCTTTTGCTTTCTGTGTCGCTTTTTCTTGTGTTTTTTCTTCTAAATTTTCCGGAAAAAATAAATTGGAGACTTTCTGCAAATGCTATTATAAATTTTTTATACATTTTCAATTTGTTAAAATGACTTCTAGTAGACAGAAATCATTCTTTCAACCTTAAATGCTTATACCTCAAAAGTTTATGAAAATTAATTAACGAAAACTAAACATACATCTACAAGAGCTAAAATGCTTGAAAGTTAGACTACAGACCTCTGCAAAGAATTTTGTTTATTTAAACTTTTACAATACTGTTTTCATATTTATGAGAATAGTATAAGCTTCATAAGATAAGTTCGAACTCTGTAAGCTTTCAGCTGTTTTATTAAATTCGCCCTGACTTAATGCTACTCATTTATTTTGATTTAATTCCCTTAAAGTGGATACAAAATATCTAGGATATAACCATAATCTTACGGTTTAATGACCGATCCTTCCTTCAAACGCTACTTTTATTTGACGCAATTTGAACGGCTACCTTTCCTGCACTATGCTTTGCAGTTTTGGGTGGTTTCACTCCTTCTTTCCATTTTAAAGCATTTCTACTCCTGTTTTTGCTTCTTGCTGGTCGTTGTCGTACAGCTACCTGAATTCGAACCCAAACTTTGATCGATAAAAATCAGTAAATATCTTGAGTTTCTAATCACTTCATGATAGTTATGCTATGAGCAGAACTGATGTTATTAATTTTTATTTTTCACATTAATTTCCGATATTCCTCATCTTATCTTATCTTATCTTATCTTATCTGCAACTTGATTTCATATTTCTTGATGAATAAAATATTACAAATTCAAATTTGGAAATGCTCCTTTTGTAAATATCATATGAATATATTCTAGTATATTTCCTCCAGGATTTGCTTTTCTTCTTATCTAAAATTTAATACTTTCTATCTAAAATTTGTCATTCATTTGATGCATAACTACTCAAATAAATTAGTTATGACTGTAATGGCAAAATATGTGAAAAGTAGACGTTTTGAGGACTTTGTTCGACTTGGTCATTCACAATAAAAAAATCATCTACTCTACTAAATTTCATCAAATCCAATTTCTGAGTAAAGTTTTGGACTACAGTTTCCTCCACGATGTGGTTGGAACTGTCTTTGAAGACTAAAACTAAGAAGATAGCTCGACTCTAAGTCACAATAATTAATATAACGGCTAGCAAGTTGCTTGAAGCTGCATGAAAAATGATGAAGAACCTTTTCAAACTGTGTTTTTTCTTCTTTCTCATCAACGATTGTTTTTGTTTTCAGGAATTTCAATCGAGTTTTACGAAAATGTGATGTGGCTTTGTCTTCGAGTGATTTTAAGGATGATTCAACTGCCGATGCTGCTGTTGCTGCTGTTGTTATGATGCCATCTGTGATATTACTTGCACTGGAAGGCAAATTTGTACCGCTGCTAGAAGCTTCAGTGGTAGAATCCGTTTGGTCGTGTTGAACATGTCTTGTTGAATTGTAATTATCAATTCCCTTCCGACGATAACCTTTGCTTCGACTTGCAACAACTGTTGACAGTGTTATAGAAGCAGCTAGTGCTAAGCATTCTCTAATCCAACCGTTTTCCATATATTATTCAGCATAAAATGACCATTCTATTGATAAATCTACGCATTTATTTTAAAAAAGGCTTAAAATTAATTATCAAATGATAATCGAATATTAGTATTCAAATTTAATAGCAAATAAAAATTACTGTACATGTGTACTCTTGAGAGAATTACAATAGAATCATGCTTTTGTGCCTAAGAATAATTTTTTTTTCACAGTAAAAAAATATATAATTTGAAAATTTAATTGTTCAAATCAGTTACTTTGCATATTTTGATCAAAATTTTATCAAAAGTATTTGACAAAATTTTTAAAAGTATTTGAAAGTATTTGAAAAATACTACTTGCTTTGTTATAATTGTTTTGGGTGTGCTCAATATCAATTCTGTACTCTTTTTAGTTATGTCATTTTCAAGTTAATGTAAACTACACAAATCAAATTATATCACTGTAAAATCAATGTAATTCTAATGTAAAATTAAAGAATATGCAAATTTTGTCAATATTATTTGTGTAAATGGGACATCAGATCATTTTTAAAGATGGCTAAATTTTTCTAGGAAAAAAAATATTCACACAAAAAAGTTGAAAACTTTTGTACATTTTTATTTGCATTTTTCGCCCACTACAATACTTAAAGAACTATACACAGTTGAATCGTTTTATTCAAATTAGTACTCTTAGCATGCAGAATATCTTGAATTTGGTTTCACATTGTTTCTGATTTATGCAAATTAATTATCATTCAGGCTAAATATGATAAAGTATGCAGTGAAGATAAGTTTTATATTTATATTATTTTTTCTTTGTGAAATCATAAATAGACAGATTTACACAGTCGTAAGTTTCTCGTTATTCTTAATAAAAACAAAATAAGGTAACCTGCTCTTAATGTTCGAAACGAAAGATGAATAGTTGTCAGAAAATACATTTATTTGTCTTTTTTCTTTAGCTTTTACCTTCATATAAAAATTTATTTTTAAATAAAGGGCGGTGACCTAGAAGTCATTGAGGGAATTACACGGTTAAATTATTTTATATTCATGCATGAACTTAAGCTGAAAGATACACAATTAGAGCTTAAATAAAAGTATGCAGAAATAAGTGCATGAAAAAATTCTGATCAAATTAGATCAGCTCGTGAAATCATATAACCATAAATGTGAAGGCCGTACAAGATGAAATGTTTTATTATTATATACATTTCATTGTACTTATAGAATTACTTTTATTATGTCAAGACTAATCAGCGAAGTAAAAAAATACTTAAGTCAATATTTTCCGTCAAAATCAGAAAATTAGCTCATTCTTTACTCTATTATTTGGTTGAAGGTGAAATCACTTTTGGTACCTTTTAAACTTTTGAACTGAAAATATTTGAGTATCTGAAAATCTTACAGGACTTTATTACACTCAGTTGTGCTTTTTTGATCTGACTATTTTGCTAATTTTCCGTTAAAAGACTGACAAAACTAATAGATTCTGCAACAGATTGCTCAAATATATTTTGATATTGTATTTAGTAATTTCTTGCGCACTTCACTTACCGTTAATTTTCGCTATCATTTTGATAAATGCAATTACCGTAATGATCTTTAACAGGAGAACATCCACATCAAAATGAAAGGGAGAACTAGAACTGTTCACAAAATAACAGTGAAAAGTAAAATAATACACAGTTTTGGTTTGATGATGGCAAGATCAACAATAGTAATGCTAAGCGCTCGAAAAAGCGATATTAAAATCAAAATTAATGATCTGAACAATTGGATATAATGATTGCAGTATTAAAAAAACTAGCAGTTTTTGCAAAATCTTTCATTAAATTAAAAATTTTAACCGTTAATAAAATTGATAGCAGTCACCAGTGACTTTTCAATATAATAACCTGAATCTATTAATTCCTGAAATCTAATAATTATTGAATCCAATAATAATTGATTAGTTGCAGTATAAGAACTAGCTGCTTATCAATCAGATAATTTTATTAAATAGTTCAATTTAGGTAAAACTGATTGCTAATTCATATTGGGTTGTTCCATTACAAATTTGCAAATCTTTTACACAAACGTCTCATGCTAATATATTCATGATTTGGGTCAACTATTGTGAATGTATCATACTTGTTGTTTACTCTAACATTTCTTCAGTTTGCCAGAGTGTTTCAGCTTTGCCAACTTACCAGAAAAAGATCAAATAGTGATCAATCAAATCACGAATCAATAACTTTGTACTTATTTACGATTGAATAATATCTCTAAAGTAATTCTCAGAATTTTCCAAATTTACTATTACTATTTGAAAGCTATTTTATTTGGCCAACTATTTACTGCCCTCACTAATTATTTTATTCCACGTCCCCTTTCCTTCTTCTTCTTTTCTCCTCCTCCCACCAATCAGGTCATTTGCATAATAGCAACCATTTTTGGATCTCAAACATCTAACCTATTATTACCGCTATCAGCCAAGTATTCATAAGCAGCCAGCCTTAATAAACCGTCACCTTTCATGTGGTTATTCAGAATTCCAGCAATGTTCAAAGGGAAAATACTGATTTATTTGATTCTTTTCTTAATCTTATCATCTTTCCATTACTTCGTTAATGCATTCATCGACAACTCGATTTTAGGTAATCTTCACGTTTTTTTCTTTTTTTTTGATAAAGTTTTATGTGCGCTAATTTACTGTAAATAACGATAAGTGAAACTTATTGCTAACATACATTACTTTATCATATATTACTCAAATTGTTATCACTGAGTCAGTAGATTGATCTTTCAAATTCAAAAATATGATAATTAATAATGCATTGTAAAATTGAGCATATTGAAATCATCTTCTCAATTTGCGCAGTGAAAGTATCAACAACTGTGTGAAAATGATTATACGAATTGATATTTAAATGACAGCTCTCTTAATTATTAAATGAAATAAAAAAATTAGTGGTGCTAATAAAAATTATAAGATAGCAACACTAACAAATATCAAACGATTGCTGTCATTACAGTAAAAAGCAATGCTAATTATTAATTAATTAATTTATTTATTAATTGATGTAGCAAAAATTGCAACAATTTCTATGAAATTTGTTGAAGTTTAGGCATTTTTAAAAAAATAAAAAATAGTTTAAAGTTAAATTTTATTGTGACTTTCATTTATATTATTACTAATTACAACTATTTTTGTCATTATACTCAATTCTAACGCTCTATTTCCTTCATTCTAATAATGAAACGTTTGAAAATTCAATGTCATTGCAAGAATTTCGAATAAATAAGAAAATTTAAAAGCACTCATAAAATGAAAAAACTCAAAATTATATTCCAAAAAATTGAAAGTTATTATTTGGTTGAAAATGATATTGTGACAATGAATTTTGTGTGCTTATTTGGTGGCAGTGAGTGAAAATCTCAATTTGATAGCTGATAAAATATTATTATTATTTTTATAAAAGTAAAGCAATGCTAGTCAGAAGTTATATTATTTGAATAATTCCTAAAATTAGCGGAGTACAGTAGCCGAAGGAAAACAATGTCTATTCTATGCATACTTGGCTCAAATTTCATTTTTTAGCTACAAAGCAACGAAGAATTTCGGTTATTATTCGAATTTGCATTAAAAAGATAATTAATTCTTTACTGAACTACAAGTATCTCATATTTATTCAAATTAGTTTCTTTTTTAATTCAATTTATTTCGTATGCACATTATTGCAAGTCATTTTTTCCATCTTTGAGAGAAATTTTTATATCATCAAGTTATTTAAATACGAATTGTAGCACTTATAAGCCACTTCAAATCTCAATTCTTATTTGTAAAAGCATAGAAATTTACTTAACAGAAAAAGTTCAACAATCTAGAAGGTCAGTTTGTTCTAAGGAAAAAGTTTTGTGTACATATGAACTGGCAGGTACGTGAACTCGTAATTACAATTAAATGAAATGCATGTATGAAGGGAGAATTGTTAAAGGTCGAAGAAGGTAAAGTAATATGCAAAAATTGTTACACGACCTTGAATAGAAATTACAAAAAATGCATAGATGATTTTGCACAAGTTATTATGCAAATCTCACTCTTACATTAACTATTGCAAATAGGTTACTTATTTGTCAAAAGTTAATTGCATTTTCAATAGTTTTCTGAACTTTTACTAAAAGTTCACGAATTAAAAAAATTGCTGGAATTTCATTTCAACATGAATTGCATATTGGTTGTAAATTAATTCGTCTTAATTGAGGAGCAATATTCAACTAGCATATTTGTTGTATACGATAACTACATTTAATGCTTCGGAAATATTAGTGTGTTTTTTGCTGAATTAAAAGCAGTTTAGTATAGAGCATGAATAAGAGTACAGTTCACGCCGGGAGATTCAATCAATAAACTGTTGAATTTATACAAAAGCAACATTTTCTTTTCAAACTTCAAAATTATTGTAACCAATTTTTGTTTCACTGCAAGTAAACATTAATTAATGTATAATGGAATATGCAAAAGGTAAGAAATGATCATAAGTAATGGCTAGTGACAGAATAAGTAAGTTATAGAATGTTGGTAGAATGGTACGTACCAACGATATAACAGAAATCAGTAATAATTTAGGCAGTTTATGGTACCTATAATGATAATATAGATGTGCCTGCTGGTTTTAGCACAATTAATTTTACCATAAAGATCTGTGTGAAGCTTTCATGCATAATTAGTCACTGAACTGCAATGAATATTTTCCAAAATCATTATTATATCCTTTAGCATGTTTCTGATGCTCACAGATTTAAATAAATACAGAAATGCAGATTAAAGGGCACTAACTTGTACAATTAAAAGTCAAACTCAGCTCAATTTTCCATTTATGTCAAAAAGTTGAAAATTAATGCAGTGTTCTTATGTTAAAGAGTAATTAATGAAAATAAATAAATAAAACAACGTCATTAAAGCTAACATTAGATTGTGAAGTAATGTTATCTGAATTAGTACAGTAAAACTCAAGATTACAGGGATAAGTTTGCTTTTAAATAGCTTGCAGTAAAATGGTATGCCATTTTTTTACAATGAAATAACCAGTTTTGGTTAATATGCAAAAATTTAATGCGATTCATTTAAATGCTAATTAAGTTAAGGACCAACATGTTAAGCGCAAAATTAAGTGAAATAAGTGATTGGCGTCAAACTTGAAAATATTCATAGTTTATCTTATTGAAAGCAGCGTAATCAGATAATTATTTTGACTTTATCACTTTAGGTGTACCAAAAGTCACTTGTGAAGAAGATGATTTATCACTGGATGTGATGACTTCAAAACCGTTCCATGGTAACATTTTTGTGAAAGGACGAGCTAAAGATTCTTCATGCAAACAGTCATATAGCCATAATAATTCAAATTCATATACTTTATCCCTTGGCAAATGTGGCATGCAACGCTTACGATCAGTTAGTTAAACACAAGCAATATTAACTTTGAGTGTTTTCTAAGGATTACTGATTGATAATAATTATTTATGCATAGTAATTAAATGGATCTGTGTAGCTGCTAAATAATTTTTAATTTAATTACAATAAATCATACATTTAGAATAATTTTTTGATAAATAATCGCAATAATTTTTTCATAGAACTGAGAATCAGAACTGCTTGATTTCTGAAACCAAGTACTGATTTATTATACATAAACTTTAACTTTCAGTTAAAATTATTTACATTTGGATTTGAAACTTTCATGAATACAAGTGAGTTTTTTTTCAGGTTAATCCTCGAGGGATTAATTTTCTCATTACAGTAATTGTTTCCTTTCATCCAGCAGGTTTTATCACAAAAAATGATCGAGCATTCCATGTAAAATGCTTTTATATGGAACCTGACACAGTTGTCACATCAGCTCTTCACGTCAGGTGACTTCAATATTTGTGCTATATTATATTACTTGAACAAAAAGTTAATTAAAATTCTCATTGTTATATCAGTATCAACTGTTAATCTATGATAAACTGATATTTAAGTTTAGCATTTTTCAGTCCATTAGTAACAACAGAACTATTAGATGAGTTGAGATTACCAACTTGTGAGTACAGTGTACGACGAGATAGTATCAACGGACCACAACTGGCGTTTGCAAACGTTGGTGAAACAGTAAGCGTGAATTTATTTTAAATAAAATTATTAATTTTCCGTAAATCAAGAAATTTAAATAGTTTTGAGCCCAGAAATTTGTGTTTACCTTTAAGAATATTAAATTAGAAGTCATTTCTGTTCAGCTAAATCCAACAATATGTACTGATAATGTTAATTTTGATTTGGTGGAATTAAGCCAAAAAACAACTGTCCTCAAGTTTTTCACTTTTTCTCTCTTCTCGACAATAACGGATATCTCTGATTCTTACGTTGTGAATAGTACCTGATGTGAAAGTTGTTTGAAACTACGAATACTTTTGCTTTGCATACATTCGATTAGTGTCATTTGAGTAATACCTTTTGAGATTTTCGTTTTAGATTGAATGACTTTTCACTTACTTTTAGTTCTTTTTTTTCACTTACTTAAAAAAAGTAATTGCATTATTTTTCGTAAAAATTTGTCTTACAACTAAGACAAAGGTTTTTAATTAAATTTCTTTTTACATACTATTACTTTTCTATTATATATTACATTTTTGCAGTATGTTGTGCTTCTTTATTTATTCAGAAATAAGGAAAAATAGGTAAAATGGTAATGTAATGTATCACATGGCGAAAAATCTGAGAAAAGTAATCTCAAATTGCTTTAGGTATTCCATGTTTGGCAGTGCAGTGGTGCAGAGATGGGTATGCTGGTGAAAAAATGCTTCGTAACCGATGGCGAAGGTAACGACCACAGCGTTCTCGATAATGACGGGTAGTTTTATTTTTTGCATAATTGTTTCAAATATATCTAAGCTAAGCAATTCATTAACACAAATTCTGTATTTAACATATTTTACAGTTTAACAGTTAGTTTTTGGATTTAAAGGAAAAGTTTGCTAAGACTTATTTTAGTTGTTCTTTGGATGACTTATTGCTTGGAGAGTTGGTTTATGATTCCTCGTTAATGAGGGCTCATGCTCAAAGTCAAGTATTCAAATACGCTGATAGCAATCAACTTTTTTTCACATGTCAAATTCGGCTCTGCCAGAAAATTATGGGTTATTGTGAAGAAATGACAGTATGCTTTTGCAAGCAGAACTTTTTTAAATGATATTTACATATTTAAACAGTAAAAAATGCAATTTTCAAATCAAATGAATTTTTAGTCTTATTGTCCGAAATTGGGACATTCTTACTTATTGTAGTTACTTTACAGTATTCAGTTTACTAATTGCTTTGAATAAGACTAGTACTATTGAGTAACGGATAAGGAGTCCATTATGTACCTTACTGCAAGCAATGATTATCATCTGTTAAAGATTGAGTTTATTATTAATATTGTTGATTGCTTGTAGCCTCCAAAATGTTCAAAAAGTAGTGCTGAGACAAAAGAGAAGCGCTCTCAACGATCAGTCACATCTCAGAAAAGGGATTTCTTGGAATTGGATGTGAGTACCTCGGAAATGCTTATTGGAGGAATCGATGATACATCCATCGAGACGTCTGCTATGTGCTTCTCTCCTTTCCTAGTAGCTTTGTCTAATTTTATACTATTTACTTTGGTAACTGTTTTGCTAGCTATTCTCGTTGTAATGAGAAAAGAAACACGAAAAACTATCATTTGCATGGCATGCTTATGAATATTAGCAAATTATGCCACCTTATAAGTAAGAACTAAAATTTTCAACCTCTTACTTTTGTTTTGTTGACTATTTACAATAATTTCGGTGTCAAAATTCAGTATAAAAATAAGCATAGCGTTGATTTAACAAGTTGACAAAGACTGAAATTCTAGACGAAAAGTTTGATCATTTGTTTTAAAAATAATTTCAAATACAAATTTTGAAACTGTCTGAGCTCAATTATCAAGCTTCTGTCCAAAAACTTGAAAGTTAGCAAAGATTTCAAAGTTGATAATATTATGAGTTTGCTATTAGAAATGACGGAGATCGTTTTAATTAAATTTCAAGACTAATTCTTCTGAAACAAAACCTTTAACTAACACTTGACATTATTATTGCTGGCAAAAAATTTTGAACTTTTGTATTGTATTCATTTATTTTCATATTTTTCTGAAGTAATTTTTTTCTGCCAAAAAGTTGCATGCTTGAAATTGCGTAGGAAAAGCTAATAGATTTTGTTTTATTACAGATTGAGTAAATTCAATTAGTCATTCACTTATTAAACATTAAAAATTAATTCACTGCTGTAAATAAATTTTTCAAGTAAAAGCATTCAATTAAATATTTCATGATTTAATTTTGAATTTTAAATAGCAAGACTGTATTTCTGCAGAAACTTTTATGCAGAGTTGGACATTGACATTCATTTATTTACAATTTTGTTCGATTTAATTCAAAAAATTGTTAAAGAACTTTTTTGTCGTAAGTTTTTAAATTTTTGTTTTGGTCTCCTAATTGACTAAATTTAAAATTAATATGGTAATACTAATGATATTTTTCACTCTGATAAATAAATCACAAATATGATAATATAATAAATTACTTATTTTACTGTTTTTTGAGAATATTTATAATTTATCAGTTCAGTATGAGAGCACTAATGCAGTTTGTGCCAGAAATGTTCTTCGATGACAATTCTCAAACATTCCATTTTAATTTTTTACTGTTGTTTTCATGCTTGTTATGAATTATTATTCAGATTGTGAAAGTAAATCCGATTTATGAGTTGCCTTTATTTACATTCTATAAGGATAACAGTTAACAATATAAAGCAATGCACTGTTTAAGGATACTTCATTCTTATTCCATTTTTTTAAATCAAATAGTTGCTCCCAAATTATTATCCCATCTACTGGTAAAGTCAATACAAATAGTATTTCAGTAGAATAGTCTATTTTAAGTTGAAATATTTGTTAATAAACCTCAAAAAGTTTGCTCTTATTTTTGCATAAAAGTACTACATCATATTAGTCTGATCTACTCTCTGATCCAGCAGCCATTTAGATCAGTGATAGTACTGACTACAGAAACTAAGAAATAATAGATGTTTTTCAATACTGTGACAGAATATATCTTGAGTTGAGTTCCTATTATAAGCAGTTTCATTATTTGAGTTATCTAACTAGTATGTATTATTGCTAACTTTAGATATTGGAAAAAACATAATATACTAAAATCAAAAACGAAAAAACAACAATAACAACTAACAGTTGGATAAACCAATGCGTCTAGACAAGGCAGTTTTTGGGCATTAAATTTATTCAGATAAACAGTCCGAAAGTTTTTTAAATATGCTTAATCGTTCATAAATTATGATTAGAATATTTAAGAGCAATGAAAACTGTTCCATCAGTGGAAATCAAGTATTCAGGTTTTGAAACAAAAATGACATCATGAATCAGCTTTGAATTATTCAGTCTTTTCAATAAACAACGCAAGTTTAATTGTCTGTCAAGAAAATAAACAAGTGAATAAAAGAACTGAGATAATATTTGACGTGAAGAACAATGGTGACAAGTATATTTGAGGCACAAGAAATGACTGAAACTTGTACAATAAAAATAAATAAATAAATAAATATTTCAAAGTCAGTCAAAAGTAATCTTGTCTGGTATTTTTCACGCAGCTTAGCAGTTCTGAATGCGCTGCCATCTCAGTGCTGAATTCTGATTAATTAGTACTCTAAATAATTCAAATTAATTTATTAATATAAAATTCACTTTGTTCATTGCTATTTAGGCAGCTGAGAACGATCCAATTTTTTTTGCATCATCTTTTTGCGCAGGGGCATTTGCCGGTATGCTATCTAAATCAATCGTTGCGCCATTAGATAGAGCTAAAATCAATTTCCAAGGTTGATTTCTTTATCAGTACGCAATGCATAACTGAAGGAACACAAAAAAGAAATACAAATTTAATTACTGAATTTTAATTGATAACAGTAAAATTAAATTATCATCGTTACTTATGACAAACACATATAAGGATAACCATTATTATTATTAACATTACTTGTTACTATTATCAATTACTATTATTTATTTCTTTTATTATTATTATCATTATTAATTATAATATTGCTTTAAAAGTGATATTAATTTAGTGTCATCGGCAACTCGTTACTCAATATTTGAAGCAATGAAATTTTTGAAAACAACATACCACGAAACAGGTTTATTATCTCTTTGGCGTGGTAATTCAGCGACATTAGTTCGAGTTGTACCGTATGCTGCTATACAGTTTGCATTTCACGAGCAATACAAATATTTACTGAAAGTTGACTTTGACAAGTAAGCATTTGTTTTTAGATGCTAAAAAAATCACAGTATAAGTTAAATTACGGTCTAAGGATGATCTGTCTTGATTGATAAAATATATCTTGTCAATCAAGATTGATCATTCTCAGACAAAATTTTGATTTCAATCATTACAGCACTTAAACATAAACTAGTAAGACTATGCAGTAGTAGAACTTAATTTGCTATAAAAACTAACACGTTTAGTACTTTTCAGCACTTGTGAAGAGTCAAAAAGCGTTATATTTCAATAAAAGTAAAACATTAAAAATCTTAATTATTGCGGAAACAATTAGTAATTGTAGAAAACGAACACCCATTCGAAGACTACTAGCTGGGTCCTTAGCTGGTGTAACAGCAACTATTTTCACATATCCACTAGATACCGCAAGAGTTCGACTTGCTTCATCAAAACATACTGAATATATTAACCTCAGATCCGTTTTTGCTAAAATGTATTCTACAGAAGGCATTAGGTTGGTTACTATAAAACAAAAATCAGCAAATAATGCAAAAAAAAATGCACTGATTTCGGGTAATTACTTTGTTTCATTTTATATAAAGTAAATTTAAATAATTAAAAATTATCGAAATTGAATCGTTTTGTAAGTACTGCCTTCTTTAATCAGAAAATTTGTTGTAATATATTTTAGAAATGCTTTTTATGAAGCCAAAAATCTGTCATTCATAGGCGTTTGCTTTTGCATGCAGCATCATATATAGCACTTCTAAGCAGAACTTCTGACTTTTCTCTCAAAGTTTTCAGTAATTTCAGTTTTTAAATGCGCACAAATTCCACATAAGTCATAAAAGACAGAAAAATTGTTTGCGAGAATTTGAATATTAATATTGAAGGTCATTTTACTATGGATTAACACCATCTTTACTGGGAATTATGGCTTATGCCGGTGGAAGTTTCTATACATTTGGCACACTGAAACTATTTCATAAAGGTACTGTTGTTAATGAAACTATTAGCATGCAAATTTGGGCCTTTCACACTTTAAGTGCCGGGGAGATAAATGAAAAGAACTCCTATTACTAATTAAATTAAGAAACATCGTTTACTCGTATATGACTTTTGTACGCAAAGCTATATTTCGAACTAATAATTATGATTAAAACCAAATAAATTGAGATATTAATTTCTAATCGATACAACAAAATTTAATTTTCATTTTTAATTTGTGACTGAAATTACGATTAAAACCAATACAAAAGTACTTCGGCACAGTCAGGTATTTTGTTGAATATTATAATTAATCGTATGATTAGTTAAATATTATTATTGACAACTATCATTCACTCGGGATGCTTTCAAAAATATGTGTTGTGGAAAATACTTAAACAAATTATAATAAATTGTTTGAGGCATCAAAATTCTTCGAAAACTTCAAAGTTTTCAGTCTCCGTAGTAAATACTGCCCAATTTTCTTTAATGTACAGTACGCAACAGTTTACTTAGCTACACACGCAGTATACTCTTCAAGATGCTGCTGAACTGTGTTCAGCTGTACTGCTTGAACACATCTCAATCACTTTAGCTGACATCATAAACTAGAAGATTCTATATTAACAGAACATACGAATCAACCAATCTCTCCGTATGACCGTCTTATTTATGGTGCTATTTCTGGTACAGTTGGTCAAGTTATATCATATCCAATAGATATTGTTCGCAGACGAATGCAAACTGGTCGCATTTCATCAAAGAGTAGAATTTTGCATGTACTACATGAGATATACCGCAAAGAAGGAGTATTCAATGGGCTATATAAGGGAATAAGCATGAATTGGATTAAAGTAAGATACAGTTTAAAATTATAATGGAATAATGACATGAATTCATATCCTTGACCTTCTTTCTTAACTTTGAAATTTGCAAATTTCCATTATCATGTACATCTGCTTGAAGTACTATGAAGTGAATTTACTTGAATATAAACTAAAATTCTTACAGTGAAATGAAGTACTCATTGATCTCACTACATTAAAAGTAAGCAGACCAAAATACCTCCTACCAATCTAGCTTCTATCAATCTTATCAGTCCATTGTCACTTATTTTATCTTATGTCCATATCTCTAATTTTTAGTCTTTGGAGCTTCAAATTCAGCAAACGCATTCGTTAAGAAATTGACATAAAAGACTTTCACTCCACCTCAACACTATCCTGGATAACTATCGCAAATAACAATATCCTGTTTTGCTCAGTACATTCCTATCTAATCTATTATAAAACAATAAGAAAATAGACCTATTCGATTTTAACTTTCTAATACAAACATTTCAGGGTCCCATAACGGTTTCTATTACATTTACAGTATACGACTATACACTTCTATATCTGCTCAAGCTTCTTAAGAAATCATAGTTCTTTACTGAAATTTAGACAAGTAATGCGCAGTTATACAAAATATTTACATGCTTTCAAGTATTTTGTAAAATGTAAGGGAATTAATAAAGTATATTTGTTTCTTTAATACCGCTAAGAAATACAATATATAACCGGAGATACAGTCCTATACAAACACGAACACCATTACAAACATTATAAACAGTCTTTACATTTAACTACAAATCTTTATTACTATTACATCTCATATAAAAGCATATAAAGCAACGCAAAAGTTAGTTTCTGAATGAAATTCGGAATCTATATATAATGCAAAACAACTCTGTTGGTAGCTAAGAAGCCCACTCAATACTTTATGAAGCAATCAAACTGAGCAGACTAAAAATAAACACTGAGATCGCGGCATTCCACACACTACATCAAAAGCATCAAAATGTGAAAAAATTATTACGAAAATATCCCAAAATCAAACAGTTCGCTGAAATTTTTTTTAAAGACGGTATAAAGTGATGAGCAATGTTACAGATAATTCATTTATATCAAGATTTTTACATTTAAATGAATTTTCTTCCAAACAACAAATGAAGTAAAAATGACTACTCATCGCTTCTAATATAATAATACACACAGTATTTAAATTCTTTAAATTTCAATATATCATATTTTCAAGACAATTCAAGATAACAAATAGCTAGGCTGAAATATCTAAGAAGGAAAAAATGAGCACTTCCTGCTAGCAGAACAATTTCTTGGCCCGTACTATGAATTAAGTTACACGCATATGAAGACTGATGACTAACATCAAATCAAGAGCAAACAAATTAGCTTTCATTTTCATTGAAACTTAAAAATTCTTCCAACGCAACTTCTTCCAAACGTCCCTTTTCTTCATCTAAATTATCGTGCGGTCTTAATTCATCTAAAAAATAAGTAAAAGATTAGCAATTTTAAAGATTTTATCAAATGAAACTTTAAGAAATGACTGGCTTCTATTCCAATAATTATGACCAATAAGTAAAGGAAGAATAAGCAGGAGTTAATTTGAAATGAGAATTTGAAAAAAAAAAAGAGTCGACTGGCATTTAATGAAGTTGCTCATTTTAAATGAATACTTTATTTGATTTCTAAAGTTTATTCAGCTTATCACAATGATAAAACATTTTTTTTTCTTCAAAGAACAAGAGCTAATAAACTGTTAAGATTCGGAGCGCTGTAATTAGAGAAGTGACTGAACGCAAATTATATCTCGAAACTTTGAGATAAATAAATGCAATATTAAGTGTATAAAAATAGCTCAATACTACTGAAGATCAACAAACTTTGATTCAGTGCCACTGAAAAATCATAAACATCTGGAACTGCATTCAAAAAATTATGGGTCTTTGCTTTTTCCTTTTTAAGACCATCTTTCATCACAGAAATTTCTCCTTCGGTATCAGCAACAATTTGCAGTCCCTCCAAATGCGTTAGTGCTCTTTCTGTTTGTGAACAGAATCGACTCAATTTGATGATTTTACAATTCAAATCGTCCAGTTCCTGAAAGAAGAAACCTTAATCACTTTTTTTATTAAAATAAAACTTTGCACCAAGGTTGAAGTCATTAAAATTTAATTCAAAAAATGTGCAATGACGATGAATTTTTCAGAAACAAAATTAGCAGCCAACAGCTTCAATATATGGCAATTTGATATATTTCTGCTAATAAAAGAATATTGTAGGATAACAAAAATACACATTTATAATGAACAAAACATACTACGAATGTTTGCTTCAGTAACTTCAAATTATTGTAACATGCTAACAAAGCTTCAGCACGCTCATTACACATTTGTTGCGTTCGTCCCATGCGTGTGCTGCACAAATTGGCTAGGCGTATGTTTTCATCATTCATTTGTTCAATCATTTCGATACTTAATTGATATCTTAAAAATGCAAAATAAATAAGATTAGGTAGTAATATACAATGCTGAACAAAATAAAGTTTTGACGAATTTGTGAAAAATGTGCTCATACAAGCAGTTAAAATGGACTTCGAAATTTTACTAATGAATAAAATTTATTTGTGGTATCGCAGCGTAAATATAATAAACCACAACTTTTTGCAACATAAGTAACTTCTGCCAAAGTTTCTAAAGATTTAATATGATTGCGCAGAAATGTCACAACGTATGGTACTAGAAACAAAAAAGTGAGCTGCACCAAATATGAAACTACTGATGAAATCATTGATATATAAAATAAAAAATAAAAATTACTTCAGAAGCAAATTACTTCCAGCTTGAGTTTTCAGTAACGAAGATATCGCTTCCAATGAACATCTGAAACGTATTACACAAAATACTGCTGTAAATGTACTCAAATTATGAATAAAAATCCTCCAATTAAATAAATGACTGATGTATGCATGAATCAGGACTCAGTCTTTTTAATTCTAATTTTATTTCAATCTAGATACTTTGTAACACTTTCAAAATCAGTCCTCATGATCACTTTTTTTCATGATCACATTTTCACTTTTTTTCTCCAATCACGAGCTGAATACTATTATTTCTCATTACTTACAACTTCAAATTTCTGCCCTATAGAATGCTTTATATTGAACACAAGAAAATCATAAATAGAAACTGACAATTACTCAAATGACTGCCTATCGTAAATGAAAAATAAATTAGAAAACTTTAATATATCACTGACAGAAATGTATTGAAAAACCTTATTTACAAAATACAATATAATTCACTAACTTTTGGATGGTAGGTGACGTAGCATTTCGCAGTTTTTCAACACTAAAATAATGAGTACAAGACGTAAGTCAACAAATACATTTTTGAAAACGTGGAATCATTCTTTTTTCTGCACACTTTACAAATCCAATAAGATTTATAAAGACAATACAGACAAAAATGATAAGCATACCTGTTTGTGAGTTCATTTTGCACACTTACCAACGCATCTTTTAAACTTGCAAGCATCTGCAATTCTCAATAAGATTTCGTTTAAATACAAACACACTTCTCAACAAGACATAAAAACACGTGCAAAGCTAAGCTTATACTTTCTACACAAATGCCTTACTAATCACTGCTTTGCTTCTTATAAGACTGTATTTATGGAGAGAAATGCAAAGTGCTCTGTTCTTTACTGTCGTTAGATAATTTGTTTTCGTTGATATTACCAGTTTTACTGTAAGACATTACACGTACCTATAATATACTTCTTAGCATGGTTATCTCATCTCAAACACCTCTCTCAAGCACATTTAAGAATATATACCAACCGCTCTCATCTAGTAAAGATCAATTGGACGCAATGGTTTATGCAACAATCGAAAAGGCCGCATTAAATTTGATTCATTGCATTTAAATGTGTTGAGGTGCCACATTTTCTGCTCATGCAAAGTAATTTGTAGTTTCGGGCGAGAGTGTCATTTCTTCGATATTCTCGTGCTTTATGCAAAAGGATTACTTCTAGATTACATGTATACTTGTCTTAACTTTTCGTACTGTAATAAATTCGTCGTTTGCCCAAAAAAGGCTTGTGTAGAAAAAATTGAAAGTCAGATATTGTCAATGCAGATATCATTCAGAATTCAGATAAAGCATAATCTGTAATTTGGGTTAATTGAAGAGAAATACTGTAGGTTGTAAAAAACGACTACTGAAGGATGGATAATGGCTAGAAAAGGACATATTAGAAGTATGTTAAAGTCTACTTTGAAATAAGCTTCAAAAAAGGAGAAAAATTTCGCAGAAACAAAAGTCTTATAATAACTATAACAGTTAGGACTTTTAAGGTAAAAATTGTCAATTAATTTCGATAATAAATTTAATGATTCTAGAAATTTTGTCTTTGATGATTCGATTCTTCACGTATATTATATTGGGAAGCTCATTACATTTTTACAATCGTCGCATTTGCACTTGCGTTCATGCATATTATTAATTTCGTGCTTTTAAAGCAACGTCATTGCTTAAAATTTTTTTTGAATGAATTTAATTTTTGTATTCTAGGTTTGAACATTTCAGTAGATTTTTAATAGATCAAATTTTATTGAGAATAATATATAGTTACACACATCGAGATTGTATTGGGAAAAACAGTAATGTCTTGAAAGATTATTTCTAAAGATTAAAATTTAAAAATAGATTATTATATATTTAAGAAAAATTGATTCATGGATTCATTCAAGCAATTATTGATAATAGCTTAAACTAGATAGCTGATTTAAACTTAAATAGTTCAGAAAAATGAAAAGTTTCAAGAAATGAAAAAAATAGCTGGCCGTCAAAACTGTTCACGTCCGTGATAATTCGTTCAATGTCTTGATATGATTTGGCTTCAGAATTATGCTATGACTGCGTAATGCTAGAAATTCATGCTTAGTTTTACTAAAATTGTGACCGAAAAAATTGATTAAGCAGAGTTCACCTTATGATTTTGTTGTTTTTCTTTGAAATAAGCATTCCTGCTTTAATATTTGTGAGTGCATCGACGATCTGCTCTTTTAGAATCAAGAATGAGTTGAGTTAGAGCGGTTTCCAAAAAATATCATAACTTGAGGAAATCCTCGTTAATTTTGAAATTCTCTCTGAAATACGCAAGGAAATTTCCCGAAAATCTGTTGAGGGAAACTTGTTACGATTCACGATGTTTTGTGAAGTAAAAATGGAATCTAATTTTCACTGCATCATAAAATGCTACATTGACGGATTCAAATACGCTGCATCTATTTTTTTATACCTTGTAGATTTCTGTGTTTTATTTTCACCTGTATATAGCACACGCATAGAAAGGATATTTCACATAGCTCTTAATATTTATTTACGTCAATACAGTTTTACAAAGCTTTCATGGACAGTATCAGTTTCTAACTTCAAATAAGGCTAAAATACTTTCGCAAAGTGATTAGGGATAAACATTTCTTGAACATAATTAAATTAACAAGTTTAGTTTGCTATTATTTTTTCAAAAAATTTACAAAAAGTAAAGAAGGATTTAACAGCTTAATAAGAAGACAAAAGCGTAATAGCACTGCAAAATTAGCATAATATTCTGCAATAAAAAGAGCAAACTCATGTCATGCATGTGGTATATATGGTTCATAATGATATGACATTTCTATTATTATTTATAACTGAAGAAGAATATAACAAATGTAAGTATAAGCTTTCTGAACCATTTGCAGTGAATATACTTCCATGCATGAATCTTAACAAATTTGTAGTTTTTTGATATAAATAGAAAAATTAAATTGTTTTTCACACAATGATATTCACTGTAATGAATTTGAATCATTGCTAAAGTATTTGCAAGATTGTTTGTAATTTTTTACACATTACAAAAATTTTATCAGAATAAATATCATTTTTTTAAAGTAATTGACTTTTTAACTGCGTGTGAAGAAAAGTTGACTTTTTGTCTAATTTGTCGCAGTCGATTCATCAAAATCGGTGTAATCGACAAAGTATTCATTTGTTTTATTCTCGCTAATTATTTTAACCAATTCTATATTCTTTGGATTAACATTCCAGTAATATCGAGATGAATGAATTGGTTGCATCCATTCCTTGCCATGCTCGCTCTGTAAGCAAAATGAATGTCATTACAAATTCATAATATGAATCCTTGCAATGTTTTTTTGTATTCCAGATCATATATGGCAGGCTTTAATTGCTTAATTTCAAAAATATGTCACATTTTTTGATGTGGAATAGTTGCTATTGACTTTGGTGATAAACAGTAACTAATTTTGTAAATAATACTTCGGATTAAATAAAAATGAATATTTTCTAACAGTGAAAAGTGAATTACCACTATAACATCAAGGAAATTGCAAGGCACATACATCAAATAACCAAGGAAATCAGTTGCGCAAGTTAAGTTTATTAAGGGATAATAAATCCTATAAAAAATAGATCAATTTCTCAAATTATAACTATTCCAAATAAATTAAAAGTATATTATATTGAGCGATTTTTTATATTTTTTTAAAATTAAATTTTGCCAACCGAAAAGAATGATGGTGGAAAATTAACGACAAATAATATAGTACTTACTTGTATTGCTCGTTGAAATTCAAACCTCCAGTCCACGAATGACTTTCGTTGTGGTACAAGAAGAAGATATCCATTGGTATGATATCGTTTATATAAACTTTATATTCTAATAAGTCTTCTGGCTGAAGAAATTATATCTGAGCTTAGAATTGAAACTGTTTCACACTCAGTTAAAAAGCTTTGGTTTGGAAGCTTATTCTTCTTTTACCTTTTTCAAGCCGGATATCTCATCTTTTTATTTGATTGACAAAAGCTTAATTTGCACTTGAAATTTTGTATGAATGTTAAAGCGATACTTATTTATTTTAGATTGGTGATAATATCTCTTAGCATATCATTTTTATTATTGATTCAGTATATTATGTAGATATTACGCGATTAAATCGATGCGCGAGTTGCATAAATCCACTTTCTCTAATATCTGCTGCGAAATTAGCATAATATTCTTCAATAAAAAGAGTGAAATCAATGTCATGCGTGTGGTAAATAAAATCACATTCTCGATACCAACCTAAATTTTTATCTCTTTTATATTACAAAATGAGCATAAGTATTACTTTAATTTTTACATTTTTAAAATCATCACAAATAAGTGTAAATTTAGAATCGGTTAGAAAGAATTTAATGGTTATTATTACAAAAACAAGAAATACAATCACGGTGAAGTCGAAAAATATATTTAGTAATAGTTTACCAAGTAAAAATTTATGATGCAGAACATGAAAACGATGAAGAAATTATTAACTTTTGTAATTTTGCTACAACTTTGAAAGGATTATGTTTGAAATTATGATAATGACAGTGAGCTCCAGTATTTCCCCAACAGTTTAGCAAAATACAATGAACTTAAGAATGGTAATAATTTTTTACTTGCCATAAAATCATCATTAAAAAATTTTCAAAAATTTCCTACCATTAATTTGTTAACATATTAAATGCCAGTATTTGTGAAAAAAAAATTTTATATAAATAAATATTTGGTAATAAAAAGTTACCGAGTAAGGTTCCTGCAAAAAGCAGTGGAGTACCTCCACGACTGATAATCCAATCCCGAAATATTTGAAGTGTAACTACAGTATCCTTCGGAATAATTCGTGTTTCATTAAACATTTCAGGATATTTTTTGTGAAATGAAACTACGCCATTTGTTTGACAACTAATAAATTTACTACGTCTCAAAGTCCAATTAAATAATGTAAAATTAGCTGGGACTCTAATTTGTTCATTATTACTTCCATAACTGTCAATTTTGAATCTGAAATTTAACTCTTAAATTCCAGTTAATTCGATTAGAATTATCTAATTTATTCAGAAATTTCTATTTCTCTCAATTTCACTCAGTCGAATTTACTTTTATTCTTTAAATATCAGTTGGGTATTTTGCTTAATTTACATTAAATTAATTACAACAATTTGCATGAAATCAGTGAAGAGTAATGCAAAAAAACGAATAGTCAACAACAAAATTTTTAGTTATTATTACAAATTTTGTCGCTAATTAAAAAATTTTTCAGTCAAAAAGTTGCTAATAATTAAAAAAATTCAAAAGATATTAAAAAGTAGAACAAGGATACCTTGGAATTATTCTCTTGATATTTTGCAAATGAAATATGTAATAATCTTTAGTGATGGATAAAGTAAATGAGATCAAACTGTAATAAAATTCATCTAATTTCAATTTCAAATTATTATGAGGATATTTTACATAGAGCAGTCTTCGTTCTTCGATTAAATTTAACTGAAAATTAAATCAAAATAAAAATTAATATTTATATATTTTGCTTTGAAATGGTGGACTATTTTATTAATTTCAGAAAAACAGTTTGAAATTTGAATATAATTTATTTACACGAAATTATGATAGAAACTTATTTGCATTTTAATATAATCAAAGCAAATATCTTCATAATTTCATAGTTTAATGTGCAATTTTTAATTTGATTTATAAATTAAAATACTCTCTATATACTCTTCCTCATTACAAATGTTTGATAGAGTGCGGAATTCTAAAAATTATACACAATTTATAGTTTGCTTTAATTTTATTGCAAATGAAACTGAAAAACATTTCTTTTGAGTTTTTCACACAAAACTGTCTTCTAATAAGCATTTACTTTGTCAGTGAATTTTATAGCTAAAAGAGTACTTTTTATCAAACGAAATAAATTATTATTATTATTATTATTATTATTATTATTATTATTATTAT